CAACGGCCAGTTAGAACAACTGCAGCTTATTTAGAACATGTGTAGCGAATCAGTTTCTGAAGTTAAAAGTCTGCCTGCCTACAATTTGACCCCTTTTTTTCCCCCTGGTCTTAAAGCAAGTAGACATCATCAGATATAGTAGAAACTTTGTTTAGATAAAGACGATCAAAGGCTTTGAAACAATCCGCTGCACAGTTATTTTTTTAAGAAAGAAGGGTCTCTCTAGCACACATTTCCTGCAGTAAAATCAAGAAATTGGGGACACTGGATAACAACCTGTCTTTTAAGGAAGCCATTTGTCTATTTAATGCATATGTTGCCCTTGGATATACATTTTCTGGAGTGGTTTATAAGGTTAAAGAAAAAGAAAAGAATGAAAAACCTTCAATAAATAGACAGCAGGATTAAAATCCCCCTTGAATTGCACAAGTCTGAACAGCACAGTTTTGGTTATACATGAATTTTTATAAGTTAATTAATTCTTCCAATAAACGAATATTAAATAAGTATTTGATAAATACTGTGCCCATGGCCACCAGAACCTCATGGGTTTGAAACTGAAGGGCATCAAAGTGGTCTAGGTAAAGGTTCCCCTTGACATTTAGTCCTGTCGTGTCTGAGTCTAGGGCGCAGTGCTCATCCCCGTTTCCAAGCCATAGAGCCAGCGTTTGTCCATAGAGAGTTTATGTCGTCACATGGCCAGCACCACTAAACATGGCACGCCGTTACCTTCCCACTGAGGTGGTTCCTATTTATCTCCTCCTGTTTTACATGCTTTCGAACTGCTAGGTTGGCAGGAGCTGGGACAAAGCAACGGGAGCTCATTCCGTCGATCTTACGACGGCTGGTCTTCTGACCTTGCAGCCCAGAGGCTTCTGCGGTTTAACCCGCAGCACCACCACGTCCCGTATGTATAGATATGCATGGTCTACTTTCACCCAAACACATCATCTGTAATTCAGCCTCTCGATTAGGGCATCATAAGGACCGTTAAGGCTCGTTACACACAGGACTATATGGAAAAAGATTGTGAAAGAGAGGTCCGATAGAGTGTGTGTGTGAGAGAGGGAGCATAAATCAACTGGTTATGCTTTATAGTTATGGTTTGGGGGGCATAAGAGTTGTGCATGGATTTTGAACTACAGAAGGGCTGGTGCCTGTAACCTTAGCATTGTTGAAGGGAGATGTGTGTATAAACACAGTCATAACAATAGATAAGCGATCTGAGAAAAGATACACCTGAACCCCCAGCAGCTGTGCGTCTGGGGCCATTTCTCTGCTTTCTCCAATGGCAGGACCGGTGAACGAGCGATTGTGTCGTGGGGAAGGCGGCACAGCCATCGGCAGAAGTAAAGAATGCCAGATTTGACACCAGGGCCAGCGTTTCCCCACCCTTGCCTCAAGAGGAAGTACATTCAGCCACCGAATCTTTGTGTTTTCAATTTCTACTGCTTTTGAACCACCTTCTGTGTGCAGTTTGACACCATTGGCTGGTTCTAGCCGCCATATTTCTCTAGCAACCCAATTCTTGTTTTTCTGTTGTTGTTTTAGGAGTAATTCGTGACAGACATGATTTGGCCACGTCTGTCAAAGAGGATTGTAGGTAATCCTGCTTCTCAAAAGCCAGATTCTTGTAATAGTTGGATGTGATGAGAGTAAGACATCAGCTACAAAAGAAATACACAGACAAATGCACACAGGCATCTACCTTCTAGACTGCCACAACCGTACCAAATTATTTATTTAGTTTAGGTTGTCACTGAAGAATTATACTACGAGCACTATAAGAATTATGCTTCTAATGAGCAAATGCCTACTTCCCTCACTCAGGTTGGGCACATTTTGTTCGCAGAGAAATTGAGCACAACGGAGTGGAGTTGGCCTTTTTGTTAGGAAAAATATAGGACTGTAAAAGTGACAGATTATAGAGAGAAAACATTGGACTTTTCAGACATGAAATTATCAGAATTGACATGTTGTTTACAGCATCTTAAAAATGAAGCAACGTGCTCTGTTTTTCCCCTCTCCCTCACACAGCGCTCAAATTTATCTTTCTTGAAATTGATGGGAGACCCCGCCCATCCATGCCGCCTCTAGACTTTTATCGCCCGCTCTCACCTCCATATCAGCATTATAGTTATCTGCCAGTCTGTCTATTAAAACAATATAAATATTTTGTCCTCAAGATCTTGATTATATTTCCCTTGCCCCCGGCTTCTCCTCAATTCCCTTCACATTAAAAAAAGAAGTATTTAGGTTGTGTTCTGTTGTGCAGACTGGGACACCGTGAAATGTACAAAAGACATAACTTCTTATTTGTTTCTTTATTTCCCAGTGAAGGCCGATCAGGTTTTATCCAGGGGAGCAAACTGGTAGTCAACACGAAAAGCTAAATAAATGTCTTTCAGTGTCTCCTCTTGCTTGGCGTTAAATTTAGGTCAGTTGTCTAAAGGCATTCTTAATAAATTTTTTCCCCTTTGCTTCTCTCCCTCCCACCTTCTTCAGCCATTGATAGTTTGTGTTCTTATTTCTTGTGTGTCTTTGCTTAGGCATATCAGAGGTGTAGTCGTGAACCAAGGGAATGATAACTCTCCCCCATTGCTGTAGAACAGAAAATGCAGAAGATGTGCTGGCTTCCAAAATGTCTTGCATGTGCAAATCTAAATAAATACAGAAATTGCAAAGAGAAATGGGATGTATTGATGTAATGTTCTGGATACAAGAAAATGTTGTTGTTTTAGTTACATAGACTATCTAAGTTGTGAAAATGAGCCTGGGGTATTTTTTTCACCTGGAGATCAGTTACGGTGGGTTAAGCTTGAGAAATCGAAATGACTTACCATCGTTTCCTTCCTTCCTTCTCGGGTTGTGTCCTCATTTGAGGTTGGACGCCAAAGGGAAGTGGGAAGTGGTCATTATAATTCTGACAACTTTTCTCCAGAGGCTACTTGCAAGCTTCTCCGTCTGGCGCAAAATGGACTAGCGTTTCTGAACAACGGGGAGAACGTAATTGGGCTTCAAGATGGGAAAGGTGATCGGTCGGAATGGGTGGTGGCGGTGGTAACGATGCAAACGATGCAAACATAACTGGAAATATTTTTGTCACATTTTCACTCTTGCAATTGCATCTCGAGATGCTGCCGCAGAATGGCACGTGTTAAAAAGATGGGTTTCGCTTCCTTTTTTATATATATACCGCCAGCTGAGCTCCTTGGATTCAGGACGTTAGCGGGAGCTAGCATTACGATACAAACAACACCCAAAGGGATAGGATGACATCCCGCTAGATGGAAGGGCCCTTCATAACCTGAAAGCCTAGGAGCAGTTAATGCAGAGGGGAGAAGTGAGAATTTACATGCTTCTGTCCTAATAGAGAGGGGTGTGAGTGTTTGGGGAGGTCACAGGCCAAAGTTGTGACAGAACCAGAATTTCCAAGAGCTAGCTTTTGTAATTAAAAAATGTGCTATGGGGAATGGCTCTCACTTGAGAGTCCTTTAATGAAAGTTCATAAGGCAGCACCTGTTGGGTTAACAGCCACATCTTCTGAGCGCTGTGTGTCTTTGGTAGTCCTTTCTCCACCCTCCATGTATAACAGACTGAATTAGTGCAAGATGCCGATGGATTTAGAGAGGTGTAGTTTTTCTAAAGCCAGCTTACCTAATTTCATTCCTTCCAGATATTAGGAGCGGGCACCTATCATCTGTTAACAAGCATGGAAGCCTGTTGTAAGAACGCAAAAAACGATGGCCCGTTCCGTTGATCAAATCGGCTTCCTCTTCTTTAAAGTGTTTCCCCTCCAAATCACTTCACGCCCCTCCTTTCCAAATCTTTTTTCAGTGGAGAGGGTGCTTTGGATATGTGACCAAAATGCAGAGTTCAACCCTGGTTTCGTTGTATTTTTTTAAAATTTATACCCCGCCCATCTAGACCGTAGTCTACTCTGGGCGGCTAACAATAAAAAATAGAATAAAAACAATATAATAACATGAAAAACAACAATAGTAAGGTAGTTCAAGATGGGGGGGGGGAAATGCAAGCGATGACAGGAGGGAAAGCCTGACTAAAGAGCCAGGTCTTAAGTTTGCGTATTGGTGTGGGTGTGGGTGGGAAAGCAGTAACTGATAACAAGACTCTCTTGGATTGCTTCTCTCTCATGCCGTTCGCTCTTGGGAATCACGATTTTCAGGTCTCTGTCTGCAGTGTATGCTTTGAAATTATTCTGCCGAGGTGGGGTGGGAGAAAAGAGTTAGCAAGCAAGAGAGACAGATGCCTATGTTTGGCTCCACTTGTAGTTTAGGACGTCCTGCATTGACTTCCTATCTTAAACTTTTTTTAAAATGCATTGGTAAATGGAGCCAAGTTTAAATTTAAGGAACGGCTCCGAACAGCCAAGTCGAGTTTCGGGATTTCAGCCTATGTGCGAGGAATCTCCGTCGGAGACCTTAAACCCACTAGAGGGCACTGTTGCCATGCCTTCGGCCGGCCGGCCGGCTCTCGTTTAGCAGAGCAGGAAAGGCCATCTCTGTTTAGTCTGCTCTCGGAGGGTCTCCGGCATGACCAACGCGGACCCCATGGACTTTCTGGAACATGTGTTAGCAATTTAGCCGCAGACATTTATTTCTTTGTTTTACTGCCTGGCTCTTGGAGAAAGTGTTGGTGCCTGGTTATGGTCTGTCTGGATCATGTCAGAGGCCGCGGGGATCAAGTTCACGTGACAGGCCAAGGATGAAGTTGGAGGAGGAGGAGGTGAAAAAACGGACCTTCTCTCTCAACAGTAACAAATCCTTGCCTGTCTGTGGACCCCCGCCAAAAAAGCCGGGCCCTTCGGAGTTCTTGGGACAGCTGAAAAAACACAGCACGGCTTTGCTCTTTTTCCATTTCACCCCATTGCAGTTCTTAAAAGTTACTGTAGTCTCTGTTTTTCTGAAAGAAGGTTAACGGATGAAACTCAACCGTGTTCATTTCTCTCTCTTCCTTCCCTCTTGCTTCATTCAGCCCCATCCCGAAGAGGAGATCTAGAAATCCTTGGCTACTGTATGCTGCAGTGGATGTGTGGGAGTCTACCCTGGCAACACAACCTGAGGAACCCCGAGGCTGTTCAGGCTGCAAAAAACAAGTAAAACAGGCCTGCCGTTGATTTAATAAAGGCCAACGTCGTTGTTGCGATGACAGTCGTGCATTTGAAAAGTGGGAAACGAGAGAGGGAGAGAGAGGGTTTCAGGAAAATACATATTGGCCACCGCGATTCCAGGAATGGCGGTCAAGTAGTCAGCCGACAAGAGAATGAAGAGGACAGATGCCATTTCTGGGGCTGTTTCGTCCACATGTGTATGAGTTCTGAAAGAGGAGATGCAATCGTTTGTTTCCTGTGAAGCAAACTCGCATCCTGAGTTTGAAATAAGTTCTGTCAAATTTCAGCTGTTTCCCTCAAACTGGTCCTCTCTGGAGAACTGCTGAATACAGAAGCCAGGGATGGAGCAGCAAGCTGGGAGTTTTGAGGATGACGACGACTTTCAAAGTATCCATGTGATACTTGGATACAGCCTTGTTTTAATTTCCAGTGTGTCGTCAAGCTACCGCTTGAATAAAATAAGTCTATCTTTCTAGAAACTTTCTAGAAGCCATCAAATTGGGGAAGGACTGCAGGGCAAGCCGTTTGTCCCTAACTTTCTAGAAGCCATCAAATTGGGGAAGAACTGCAGGGCAAGCCATTTGTCCCTGTGTCTCTCTCTCTCTTTCTCTCCCCCCCCCCCCGGGGCCATGTCTGTGCCAGGCATGTGATCATGGAGTTTGGGGTGGGAACACAATGGCCAGCGTATGGCAGTCAGTGCGATCGAGACATGAAAGATTGTGAGTTTTCTACGATGTGTTTTCAAACCTTTGTTCATTTCGGTATTGGTTTTAATTTGGCGGCAACTGCCCAGAGTAGTGCTTTTGCACTAGTGGGGCCATATACAAATGATTTAAGTAAGTAAATAAGTAAGTGGCACTGCGGGTTAAACCGCTGAAGCCTCTGTGCTGCAAGGTCAGAAGACCAGCCGTCGTAAGATTGAATCCACGCGATGGAGTGAGCGCCTGTCACTTGTCTCAGCTCCCGCCAACCTAGCGGTTCGAAAGCATGAGAAAATGCAAGTAGATAGCTAAGTACCACCTCGGTGGGAAGGTCATAGCGTTCCGTGTCTAGTCGCGCTGGCCACGTGACCACAGAGGATTGTCTGCGGACGAAACGCTGGCTCTATGGGTTGGAAACGGAGATGAGCACCGCGCCCTAGAGTCGGAAACAACTGGACAAATTGCCAAGGGGAACCTTTACCTAAATAAATAAACAAAGCCAGCTAGACAGCACACATAAAATCTAACTTTCTTCTGCTGCTGCTAAGAGCAAAGCGCATAATTGTGCACGTCTGATGTTGCAGATTCATTCCTAAATGCTCATATTAGGGCAAAGGGCTATGAAATCCTGGTTAGAGATGCAGTTCTTTGCCTATTTTTTTCCTGAAGCTGAAAATTTACCTAAATAAATAAACAAAGCCAGCTAGACAGCACACATAAAATCTAACTTTCTTCTGCTGCTGCTAAGAGCAAAGCGCATAATTGTGCACGTCTGATGTTGCAGATTCATTCCTAAATGCTCATATTAGGGCAAAGGGCTATGAAATCCTGGTTAGAGATGCAGTTCTTTGCCTATTTTTTTCCTGAAGCTGAAAATGAAAAGTTTCAAACATTCCCCCCCCCCTCCCCCCCCGGCCCGCCNCCCCCCCGCCCCTGGGTGAGACCCTGAGAGTTTTTGTGTATTTCTCCCATTTTGGCTCTTTTTTTGCAAAAAGTCCACACATACACAAACACACTAAAAAACACAAGGCATTAAATGCAAAGCTTGAGTTCTTTGCACAAAATGCACCGTTTTGGGTTTTTTTTTAAAATACCATTCCTGCTGATGAAAAAGTCCTGGCCTTTTTCCTGTTAGCTAGGACTTTTAAAAAATTGCATGGCGGTGATGTGTCATGACACATGGCTTAGGCTTTTTTTGTTTTAGTCAAGACAGGAAAAATGCAAGTATCAGTAACCTCTTTACCTTGAAAAGGTTCAGCTGGTCAAAGAAAGTGAGCAGGGCGAGCGTAAGGCTGCTTCGTGTTTGCACTCCGACTGCAATGTTGTTTTTGCTTCAGTGTATTCTGCACAACCTCTTATGTTTTCACAAGACTACATGAGGTGATCACTGGTGTCACTTAGCCTAACCTGAGGCAGTCCTTTGTTGCTGGATTAGAAGTCCAATTTAATCTTCTTCTCTGCCTTCTGTATTGGTCTGCAAAACTGTGATTTGTGAAACGGCATCAGAGTCTGCCAAATTCTGCTTTTCTTGGTATTGCATTTTGGTTACCTTGCTGCTAAATGTTGGAATTGCTTTTTATATACAGTCCTACATTTGGCTTTTCAGGCAATAGGGTTGTGCAGGTCAGAATGTAGAGGCCTGAGTATCTTACCATAATGCACACCCCTTCATTTCCTTCCTTGTTTATTGTATGCCTGAGACTTATGTTCCCCGTGTGTTCTTGTCTCACGAGAAAAATGTTAAGGGTTTTAATCTATAAATCCCTAAACGGCTTAGGCCCAAGCTAATGATTGAATCTCCCTTTATGAGGATACCTGAGAGTTAAGATCATCGGGAGAGGCCTTCCTCTCAGTCTCACTACCTTCACAGGTGGATTTGGTGGGGACACAGGAGAGGGCCTTCTCTGTGGCTGCTCCCAGACTCTGGAACTCCCTCCCACTGGAAGCCTGCCAGGCCCCATCTTTGCTGTCCTTCCGCAAGCAGGCAAAGACCTTTCTCTCCAGGCAAGCTTTCTCTTAAATGACTGGCTGTCTGAGAAAGTTTTTAAAAATGGATTGTTGTCCCTTACTGCTTTTAATGTGTTTTTGCTGTTGCTTTTTTTTTTTTTAGTTTAGCATTCATTTGATTCTTTTAAATCTTTGTATACTTATTGATTTTAGCATTAAGTACTGTCCTTTAATGATGTAAGCTGCCTTGGGTCATTTTAAAGGAGAAAGGTGGGTTACAAACAAACAGAGTTCTTACTCCCTGTGATAAATATTTTATTTTAAAAAACCATTCTTCGTAAAAGTATCTCTTTTTAGGCGGCCAAGGGGACCATTGCTTAAATTTGTTAAGTTAAAATAAATTAAGAATAACGATATTGTAACTTTCATTGACAGCCCTGGCCTTCAGTTTGTTGTGACGAGGAGTGTGTAGAGGATCAGCAGGTATTCCATGTGGTTGGAACAATGTCTTGCCCGCTGCGTTGACTGGGTGTTATTTTGGAAAACTTGAATTGTCAACACTTTGTTTTGCTTCGACACTTTTCTCTAGCCTGGGCTTTTGTTTTTCCCGTTTTGGGGGGTTTCACATAAAAGGGGTTTGATAAATGTAGAGGGGAAAAAAAGGAGTAGCAAATATTAGAATCCCTTCTCTTTCCCCAACTATGCCTCCTGTAATTATCCCAGGCTAAGCATACTATAGGTTGTTACCGCATTGGTGGGAATTGAGCCAGCTAATTGCTTGTGGGCCCGTACAGCCCATTGCTTGGCGTAACACACTCCACCTCAACGGCAGTGAAGTCTTACAAGTGGGGAGGTGGCAAACTTAAATAGGACAAGTCACAACAGAGGTGCACAATAGGGAGAGCTGATCTGCAGAAATCAATCTGTGTGTGTTCTGTTTGGCAGAAGCTCTCTGCAGAGAGGGAAAGCGGGAGAGGGGGATTTATCCTGTAGGCGCAGATAATACAGATTGCCTCGGTAAATGTGGACTGCGTACAGTATCGTTCAGCATTCTCCCGGTCTCGAACTTTGTATCGTTAGCGTTTCTGCACAAACTGTGTATCTCGCCATTCCAATAGTGCCAATCATCAAGCTTCTTTATTAAATTCCACAGTCAAGAATGAATCCGAGGGAAGGATGGTTCCCTCTATTTATGCGTAGACACCCCAAAAGGACTCCCTAACTTTTAAAAAGGACCCAAAGCGGCATTACATCATGAAAAAAAACAACAACGATATTTAAGGCTTTTAAAGAATAAGTATACAAATACGAAAAAGGATCAAACAGATGCCACTCTAAGCCGTATACAAATACGAAAAAGGATCAAACAAATGCCACTCTAAGCCATGGTAAACAAAAGTAGCATCGAGAAGACATACAAAGCAGTAAGGCACAACCATCTATTAAAAAAAAAATCCCACTCAGGCAGACGGCCAGTTATAGCAGTTTGATTCCTGCCATAGCTTGCTTCTTTAGGATACTGGAATATGTAGTTGGAAAATTCTGTGCTTGTGCCTCGGTTACAGCAAAGGAAAGTGAAGTGTGTTTCTTCAGAGCTTAAAGCACCCTCTGGGCAGTTTACAGTTTGATTATGTAGCCTGGCCTGGCATGCTTTGGTCCATGGGGTCACGAAGAGTCGGAAAGGACTTAACGACTAAACAGCAACACTTTGCCCCTCAGCTTGGTGACTACTCTTTCGTCGGTCTTCCCCCCCCCCCCCCCCAAAGCAACCTAGGTACTGAATTTACCAATCTTGGAAGGTTGGAAGGCCGAGTCATTCTTGATCCAGCTACTTGAGCTCGTCGGGATCAAATGCAGCTTGTGAGCAGAGTCTCGATTGCAGTACTGCAGTTTATGCGCTGTGCCAAGAGGCTCTACAGGTTACAGAATTCTAATTACCTCTTCACCCTATAGATCCTACAATTCTGTAAGATGGGATTGTGGCAGCCAAAGTGGAATCAGTCTTCGGTGATTGTGTAGTGTAGACCTATTCTAAGGTTGTCTTTTCAATACTGGAAGATCACTAACACGGGGCTTCTTGGCCTTCTTTTTTCTTGGTGATTAAACATCTGTTTCTATCGACTGCGTCTTATAGGACTTGCTTCCCAGATTTCCACCCTCTTGGCTGCCTCCTGGTCCTTTTCGCACAGAAGCATCTCACAACCCTCATCATTCTACCTCTGATTTTTCTTGCTTAAATGTAGAACTTCACATTTTTCCCTGTCCCATTTTTCTCTTTGGTCCAGTTACTCTGTCTGTCATCCCAAAGTATCTGGTGTGGTCTGTCCAGTGGCCAAC